GACGTGACATGTGGCCAAGTATGGTGACCCATACTCAGAATTAGTGCTCTGCATTTATCCCATCCAAAGTGCACACACACAGCAGTGAACACACACACACCATGAACACACACCCGGAGCAGTGGGCAGCCATTTTTGCTGCAGCGCCTTGCTCCTCAGGGCACCTCAGTCGTGGTATTGAAGGTGGGTGAGAGCGCTGTACATTCACTCCCCCCACCTACAATCCCTGCCGGTACGAGACTGGAACCCGCAACCTTTGGGTTACGAGTCCGACTCGCTAACCATTAGGCCACGACTTCCCCCACGAGTGATGATAGTGTTAAAGGCAGAGCTGAAGTCCACGAACAGGATCCTCACATAAGTCCCTGGTTTAGATGTTGCAGAACATAATGCAGTCCCATGTTGACTGCATCGTCCACAGACCTGTTTGCTCTGTAGGCAAACTGAAGAGGATCCAGCAAGGGTCCAATAATGTCCTTCAGTTTTCAAAAAGTTTTTCAAAAGACTACATGACCACAGACGTTAGAGCCACAGGTCTGTAGTCATTAAGTCCAGTAATAATAATGGCTTTGCAATACAACCATCATAGAGAACTTTAACAAACATTAATTATTAATTATTGTTCTTATAAACCAGTCTTGAAATGCAACATTCAGTTTTATACAATATGTTTCAGGGGTCCCTGTTCCGTCTTTTTATCCACTAGGGGGTCATCGGCCTAAAAAACCTCGAAGACTCCTGTCTAACACCTGGAAAACACTTTCCATGCTTATTTTCCCAACCTTTCCACTGTTTTGCTGTTTTCCTGCATGTGCGTCATATGGCAGTCAGGTGTTGACATGTTTACTGCGGCGACGCATCTGATGTGGCCGTCTTGTTTACAAGAGCAGTCATGAGACTTGCACATTTGAATGCCGTAATGCTATAAACTCCACTTCTCCTCTGCTCCAGAGTCTTGCATAACCTGTTGATTTGCTTTGCATTTGAATCTCTCGGAACGATTGGCTTCGTGTCAGGACTGCCTTCAATTAACTTCAGTGAGCAGCTTTTAACAAACAGGTCATTCACAGAAAGAGAATAAAGTTTTTTTTTTTAATCAAATGCATGTTGTCCGATGACGTCCTGAGGTTTACTGGATGTGCTGGAGCAGATGAATCATTTTTTAAGTACGTCTCCTTTGTGCAAATATGTGTGTGTGTTTGCTGCTGTGGGTGTGTTGCGTTTCTCATTCGCTCGCTGTTATTTGAAAGAGGCCTGAATGACTGCGTTCACTGTTAACCTGGAAAGAAGGCTGGTTATGTAACAAGCCTTCAAAACTGCCCCAGAATTCGGCTGATAACTTGCACTCCTTGCCCTCCCTCGTTGTGGGACGCATCACACACCCGCTCCGTGCCTGTTTGGCTTGAGAAAAGTGGGGCAGGATTTTCCTCTGCGCTCTTCTCCCCTCCTTTTTTTTCCCCGTGTCCCGTGCAAGCGTGCATGAGCAGTCTCTCACTGCTATCCCCTCCGCCACTCAGCTGATTACTGACTTATGTAAGGGGGAAAAAACAGAGTGAAAGTAGGACAGGATATACCAGAGAAAAACACTACATAACCAGCGGGACACTTTTATTCATAGAAGGAAGCTGAAAGTTTTCCTTTAATATTTACATTGGGATGTTGTATTATTAAAACGCAGTTCAATTTGGCAGCACCTAATTTTTGTGTTCAGCTGTGTGAATTGTGTGCTTGTGCTGCTTGTTTGTGAAATTGTGTTGACTGTGCCAGCCTTGTAGCGCTTGGGATGGCGTGGAGACAGATTGTGTAAAATCAGGTGAGCTGAGGGAGGCACTCCAGGTTATTTCCGTGGTAATTGCTGTGAGTTTGTGTGTGTGTCGGGCCGCTCAGAGAGGCTTATGTAACCGCAGTAGTGTGAGTCTGGCTGGCAGTAAACAGGGTGGAGGGGAGGGAGGAACGTGAGAACTCTGCTTAGGAGCATGGCTGTGCCGCGCTGCTGACTTAACTCCTTATGCACTGGCACAGGAGTGGCACATGAAAATGTATAATGGGAATCAAATTTTCCTTGACTATTTGAGATATAAGATTATACACAAGTATACAAGTGAAATATAAAATATTAATTAATTTAAATATAAAAAATATATAAAGTTAAATTTATATGTATAAAATAATTTAATTTAATATAAAAGTATTTAGAATTATTTATTATATATTAAACAAATGTGTGTGAGGTTGTATAATTTAACAGATATATATATTAGTGCTTAAGGATTCATCTCTATTTAAATTAGAATTTAGTGTTTGATAACTTTATTCAATTTCGGTATATTGCCTACTGGCTGAAGGGCACAGGTAACTAAAAGAGTTTATGTGAAGATTGTTTTAAGTTCACTTAAATTAAGTATTTTTTTTTAAGTCTAATAAATGTAAAAATGTATAGCTCTCAATTATACTGTAATATTGATTGGCTCTAGTCAATGCTTAAATATTAGGAATTAAAAAAAATTTAATAGAGACATCATGATAATCACCTTCAGTCATAAAAAAAGATGCCATTAAACAAATGTTAAAAATATACTGTCTTTGTGTTTTTTCTACATTAATTTGTAGTTTGAATGTGAAACTATTGCAATATAAAAGTATATTTAAAAAGTTTATTAAAAGTTTTTTTTAGATGAAATAGTTTTTTTTTTAAATGTGGGATTAATCACAATTAATTTAAGAAAAAAATTGGGATTAATTAGTTTCGTTTTTTTAATTGATTGACAGAGCTAATATATATAAAAGATTAAATAAATGTATATATATTTATTTATATATATATATATATATATGTGTGTGTGTGTGTGTCTGTGTGTGTGTGTGTGTGTATGTATGTACTGTATGTATGTATTAAATACACAAACAAAATATATATCTTATGAAAACTAATTTATAAAATTATACACACACATAATTTGTAATTTTATATATATATATAGTTTATAGATATAAATTTAACAACTAGATACATTTCATAAATTATACATACACACATATACAGTATAGTGAAGAAGTATCCATCCATCCATCCACATATATGAAATACACTAAATATATATTTGATAAACTAATATCAAAAAAATTATAAAATAAATTATACACACACACACACACACACATATATATATATATATATATATATATATATATATATTGTTTATATAAATTTAACAACTAGATAAATTGCATAAATTATTCAGACATGTGTGTATATGTATATATATGTATACACATAATATTTTTAGATGTAAAAAAGACAAAAAATTGTTTTAGTCAAATTCTTTATTCATTTTAAATGCATATTGTATTCAGTTCTGAAAAGAATGGTATTGCTTTTCCTGGTATTTGTGTGATTTGTGTTTAGATGACATGCTAACTCCAAACTATTGGAATCATTGAGTTCCATTTCATTCTAAAGGTCAGCGATAGAGATCATGAAAAACTAAATAATAAATTATCTAAAAAAACTTAACTAACTAAACTAAAAAAAAACAAAAAACTAAATTACATTTTTTTTTTTTTTTTTTCCTCCCTATCCCTCCACCGGTCTTTTTTCTCCCGTCTGACAGCGGACCGTCTTTAAGATTTTGCAGCCTTAGACGCACGTACACTATATACCCACTATTGTCTACTCAAGATGATGGCAAAATCTTTCTTTGTGTATCGGGGCTAGGCATTATGCAACTTTTCATAGGACATTCATAATGGGGCTGATTATCGTCATTGTCCTACTTTTCTAAGAGGAAATGTAGTTTACTTGTATGACGAAAATGTGCTTTTGTCCTGTAATGATTAGATGATTAGTCTCACAGAAGCAATCTGTTCCAGGGCCATAATTGCTTAATTACAGGTTGATTTTCATATTAAACATTTAGGAATTAGTTTTTTTTTTGGCAGCTTTTGTTTAAATTTAATTTAATTTAAGCCTTTTTACGCTCAAATTCTGTTGAAAAATGAAAAAATTCAGCTTTGCATCACAGGAATAAATTACATTTTAAAATATATTAAAATAAAAAAAGTTATTTTTAATTGTTATAATATTTCACACTTTTTTAAAAATGAAAAAGTCTAAAAATAAAAATAAACAGTCTTACCAACCAGAGCATGTGAGCGAAGCGAAGCGGTGTGACGCTCCGCTACGTTTTCCGCTCTATGGACTTCGCTCCGCTCATTCGCTCTAACCACACAAGCAAGCGCTCCGTTAATATTCCGCTCACGCTCGCCGTAATCCAATTCCCGCTCAGATCCCGCTCCGACATAAAATTTCTCTAGTAGGCCTAA